TTGTGTTGAAGTTTAGAGCATCTTTTTGCTATGTTATCATTAATTTGTTCTCTAATGTTTTTAATGTTTTCTAAATTACATGCATGATATAATGATTTCTATTCTGTATTAGCTAAGAAGATCTATTCAGGTAATAGTGCATAGTCATTTGGTATGAATGGAATACTAAGAAGATAAGAAAGGTTAAGTTCATGAATTGTTTGATTGTGTTGAATAGGTATAGCTGATTGTTGCTAAATAGAGGCTTTGGTTAAAATTAATTTTTAATATATATTTTATAATATAAATATTATATAATACTGTATGATAAATGTTAATAATGCTAACCTGTTTATTAGATTGTCAATTGATTTGTGCTTGCCTACTATGCACTTGCTCATCTTGTGCTTGCCTATTATTTACTTGCCTACCTTGTGCTTGCCCACTATTTGCTTGTCTACCTTGTGCTTGTTTACTTTGTACTTGTCTACTATGTGCTTGCCTATCTTGTGCTTGCTTACATTATGCATGCCAACCTTATGCTTGCTCACTTTGTACTTGTCTACTATATGCTTGCCTGCCTTATATTTGCTTACCTTATGCTTCCCAACCTTATGCTTGCCTATCTTGTGCTTGCCCATCTTGTGCTTGCTTACTTTATACTTGCCAATTTTGTGCTTGTCTACCTCATGCTTGCCTGCTTTGTGCTTGCCTGCTTTGTGCTTGCCTGCTTTGTGCTTGCCTACTTTGTGCTTGTCTGCTTTGTGCTTGTCTGCTTTGTGCTTGCCTACTTTGTGCTTGTCCGCTTTGTACTTGCCTGCTTTGTACTTGTCTACACACTTGTGCTTATAGTTCTTGACTTACACTTATTCATTAATTTGCTCTTGATCATTAATTTGCTCTTGTTCATTATCATCTTATGCTTGTAGTTTATTGAATTGCACCTGTTTATTGACTTGTGCTTGTTGTTTATTGGCTAGTGCTTGTAGTTTATCAGCTTGTGCTTGAAAAGATAGTATGTTTAATATTTTTTCAAGACAATGTGAAGTTGACATTTTAATATATTGATTTGATGTTTATAGTCTTTATATTTGCAAGGACAACAATTATATTTCATATTATACTTCTAGTAAAAAAAGTGCTTGCAATCAAGTAAAATTACTGATTGCAAAAAATTAGAAAAATTTTTACAACTACATATTTTGCAAATATTAAAGTCTTTACATTTTACAAGAATTAAATCATCATCATTGAAGTACAATTTACAAAAAAATTTTTTCAGTTTGACTATAGTTAGTAAATAATGCACTCATCCAATTGCTTTATAAATATATTAAAAAAAAATAGATTTAAAAATTAGTAATCAAGTAATATAGACTTTAAGTATAATCTAATTATAAGTTTAATTTTAACTGGTATCATTTCTGTTACTATAGAAAAGTATAATATATCATCATTACTGTTACTATAAAAAAATATAATGACATAATAATTTAAAAATAAAATTATAAGTGAGTTATTAGTAGCTATTCAAATTCATAGATTATTATGAATAATTTTTTTTATATATTATATATTTTTAGTAATGACAAAATTTCAAAATTCAATGTATCACAAATCAACTATATTATTAAAAATGTAACTGCATAATGATAATGTACATAGCAATTAATTGCTTACAAAAATCAGTTATGCTAATTTTAAAATATCGAATTTTTAGATTATATATTGATAGGCCAGACAAAATCTAGAGATATTACAACTGTTTTCATAAATTCTGAATAATTTAGCAAAAATTAACTAGCTAAATATTTGCTGACTCTATAAGTTCTAATAAACTTAACAAATTGGCAAATATTTAGCTAATTAATTTTTGCTAAATTTTTCAAAATTTAGTAAGTTGGTTTAAAATTAACAATATTAAATAACTTTTGAAACTTTTTTGGATAGCTATTTTATTTTAGTTGATTACATGCAGGATTTTTAATGAAAATATTTGGCCTGTATTAGCATATAATTTGGCTTGCATTAAATATCATTTGGCTAATATTAAATATCATTCAGCTTGTATTAATATTAATAGGCCAATTTCTAATTAGTAATTGATTTTTTTCTTTAGATATACTATAGCAGATTCAAATCTAATAATCCAATCATAAAAAACCTTTATAATTAGCACATGATTATGCATTATGAGCAATTTAGAATAATTATTTCTTCAATCAATAGTTATCTTATTTTACTAATACTCTAATATCTATTATTCTCTTTTCTTTGATATACTGCAATAAATTCAAACTACTAATTCATTTATAAAGGTTTTTTATGATCATTACATGATTATGTATTATAGAACCAGTTCTCAATTCACTGATATAGACAAAAGTTTAATAATTAGATCAATCTAATTTTATAAATCAAATTAATCTAGATTGAATTTTATTAACTAATATTAAAATTTGACAGTCAAATTTATATCAAATTTTAAACTAATTTTGTTATAATTTGACAGTTAAATTTCGATAATTATTATTAATGTTACAATTTGACAATTAATACAAATTGTTAAAAAATTCAACATATTTTAATGCATAATTCAACAACTATCACATGACTTAATTAAAACATTTGGCTATAATTTAATAGCAATAATAATAATAACTCAAATTAAAAAATTTAACTTATTAAATATTATAATTCAACAACTATTATATGACTTGAATTAAAAAATTTAATATATAATAACTCTAACACTAAAATTTTAACATGTTAAATAGCATTATTTGAATACAAATAATGCTAGATATTTATTATTCATATAATTTATATTTAGATAAATAATTGGCATGATGACAGATATTAATTGAAGAACATAAAACAATTAACTCTTTATTGTTTTTGAATAATGTTTTAAATATCAAGATGATAGTTAGATGAATTATAGATGAATGCTTGGTGTAAAGATAGTTAAATATTGGTCAAAGGATATAAAACAATTGATTAACTTATGTTAGTTTTTGAATAATATTTTAAATATTATGATAATAGCTAGATTGAATAAATAAATGTCAAATATAAAATGAAGTAAATTATTACTTGACAAAAAATTACTAATTGTTAATAATAGTGTTATATATTATTTTGATTTCATATTATAGTTTAGATGTGACAAGTCATTTTTTATATAATTGTTTATTATAATCAATTATGATGTTATAATAGTTTTTGAAGTTATGTTAATTTGAAATGACATAAATTAATACCAATAAAAATTTTCTTAAAAAAAATATTAATATTAGTATAATTAAATTTAACATGTCATTTTTTTTTTTATTTAGTATTAAGATAAGGCCTTGCTCATATCTTTATTAGTAATATTAGTTGTATATACTAATATACTATATACTAAGATATACTACTACAAATAAAAACTATATGCAATAATTAAAGCTCAAACAGTTTTATTTGTGACCTAAACTAACTATGGTGATCAAGGCCCACCTAGATTTGTAATATTAAAATGTAGTTGTAGATGTACTATGGTTAATCTAGAATGTTAACTATATGTTGATTTTCCTAATAGCTTGTCCAATTGGTGGACAGATATTAGAATGTGAATGTAATTGATCTGCTATTCCACATAAATATAAGTATGTATAATTTATATATGATCTCTTGTAATGTCTAGTTTGCTGTATTTATTGAAGAGTATATTTATTATTAGAGCTTAGAAGAGATGTAATATTATTATCTTTTTTCTAGTTAGAAAAATTAATGCAGTAAGGTTTCTATATTTGATTATAGATTTGGTTATTAATGTTAAGAAGTATTTGGATAATAGTTTGTAAAGCTATTTTAATAAGTATATCATAGTTATGAATTGTTTTAATTAGGGCTTTAGGTATAAGGTCTTTAAGAATAAGGTTAAGATAAAAAGAGTTTGCTTGAAATGGTATTCAGTCAAATGAAAGATGGTTTTGGATTTTGTAAATAAGTTCATGTAGTTGGCTAGTAGATAAGTTGAGATCTGCTTTAGATAAAATGTGTTAAATTGATGAATTAATAGTATTTATAACAAGAAATAAATTAAAGCAAGTTAACCAGTATAAGTGAGAGTTAGGAAGATTGCATTGAAAACAGTTGGCATTTGGAAAGATCATTGGATAGGTATTGTGATAAGAAAAATATGTTGGTAGTTGATTTAGGAGGACTTTAATTTTGAAGGTTTTAGATTGGTTAAGTTTAAAGCTAATAAAATTAGATATGGGTTTTTGATTATGATTAAGGTATAATTATGTGGATTTTCAGTCTATATAGTGGTTAATATGAGTCTATTCATTGTTTGTTTTTGTGAAAACCACATTGCCAGTATGTGTGCTTTATAGATATTTTTAACAAAATGTCTAAAAGAAAGTTTAACAAAATTTTGTTTCTATTGTAAAATATGAAAAGAATTGTAAATATTGGTTGTCTCATTAAGCATGATATACTAACTTGATACATTTGAAGTAAAATGTAATTATACAAAATTTTACATATTAACTTGCAATTAAATAAATATATTTAATATTTGAAGATTTATAGAATATATTTATAAAAAAAACATGGAGAACCAAGTTTATGATGGCCAGACTCAACATACAGAGCAGGCTATGGAACTATCACAGCTGTGAGAGCCAAGCATACAGTGATCGAATCTACAGAGGAACTTTTTACTTTCTTGAATTCCATTGCATCATCACACTTCAAGGAAACACCACAAGACCCATCACACAATACATTAGTCGATCCAGACTCATGCTATAACAAATGGCTAGCCCATCAAGGCCTACCTTTACTTCCACATTCACAAACTCTCTATTCCTTTCTTGAACACATACATTCTTACAATTACATACCACTTAATCTGTATAACTTCATACTGGCAATATCAATTAAACTAGACTATAGTGAGTGCTTAATACACTTATCAAATGAATCAGAACCTTTATCTGACTACTTTATCTCACAACGATCTGGTTATGAATTCTATTCATCAATACCTATTCTCTCAAAATATTCTCCAACACTTTATAACACACAATATACCAAACCTGTTCTTGAAGATAATGCTGTAAATTACACTTACCCACAGCTAGTAGAAACTGTTCTATC